CCTTAATCAGCATCATTTAACAGTAATATCTAAAAATGGAAATTACATCATAAAGGTATTAAAATAGAAAATGACATCATAGTCATGGCTAAAAATAAACAAAATCCTTAATCAGCATCAGCAACATTTTATAGTAATATCTAAAAATAAAATTCCTTTGTAACCATAAAAGCCCATTTAAATACATCATAACAGATATTAAAATAGAAAATGACATCATAGTCATGGCTAAACATAGCAAAAACCTTAATCAGCATCATTTAACAGTAATATCTAAAAATAAAAATTTCTTTGCAACCATAAAAGTAAAATAGAAAATGACATCATAATCATAGCTAAAAATAAACAAAAATTTTTATTATTGGCAAATTTTAAAAGGAGTTTATTATACTAAAACAATAAATTTGCAACCATAAACATGATAAAACCCCATTTAAACACATCATAAAAGTATTAAATAATTCAACTACATCATAAGGCTATAAAAATAGAAAATGACTTCATAGTCAAGGCTAAAGGTAAACAAAAAACCTTCATCAGCAAAATTTTATATTGGCAAATTTCCAATGAAGTTTATTACACTAAAATTGTTGGCAAATTTCCAATGCATTTATTAACAATAAAGTTATTGGCAAATTTCCAATTTACATTATTTAAAAGCAGTGTAGATGAGATATTTAAATGAGTTTGAATTACCAACCTTACACTGCTTTTAAATAATGTTCTTTACTCAATTATTTGTCTATTAAAATGGAAACCCTTGTTTTTTTAACCTTTTTTCCCCTTATTCCTTAAACATTAGAGCCATAACCCCCCCCCCCCCCCCCCCCAAAGCCAATTATTACTTTCCAATATAACCTAAATTTCCAATATACATAATTAAATTTCAATTCCTCATGATATATAACCGTATCATTATTATTTTCTTTCATATATAAATCTGAAACAACCATCTTTAAATGGAAAATGTTAAAGAAAAAAAAAGGAAAAAAAAAAAATCCTACCCCCCACACATTTTTTCAACCCCCTTTTGATTCATCATCCCCCACCTCAATCACAACCTTCAATTTGTGGTATGGTACATTGCAATACAATTTCACAGAGATCCATACACTTGAACACAAGTTTTTGTTGCAAACTAAAAAAATCCTTATTTTCGACCAATATTTGGCCCCTTATTCATAAATGTTTGAGCAATTAACCCCAAAACTCATTCCTACTTTCTCTTCGTGATAAAAAATAACTAACTTAAAATGTAAATTTTAAACAAAAAAAAAAGGAAAAAAAAAATTACCCCTTTTTTGACCCCCGCCCCCTTATGATTCATCACCCCCACCCCCCTTTCCCCCCAAACCAAGCTCAATAACAGCCTTGCCTTTGTGGTATGGTACCTTGTAATACAATTTTAGAGAGATCCATACACTTGAACACAAGTTATTGTCTAGAAACTAAAAAATGCTTATTTTAAACCCCTTTTTAGGCCCCTTATTACTAAACGTTTTGGGCAATTACCACAACACTCAATTCCAGCTTTCCCTTTGTGAAATGGAACCTTGTAGTAAAATTTCAGAAAGATCCATACACTTACACACAAGTTATTGTCATGAAACTAGAAAAATGCTTGTTTTTTGCCCCCTTTTGGCCCCTTATTCCTAAAATTTTGAGGCAATTAACCCCAAAATCAATCCCAGCATTGACCCTTTGTGATATGGAATCTTGTGGTACAATGTCAAAGAGATCCATATGCTAACACACAAGTTATGTCTGGAAGTTACAAAAATGCTTATTTTCGGCCCCTTTTTGGCCCCTAATTCCTTAACTGTTGGTACCATAACCCCCAAAATCAATCCCCACCTTCCTATTGTGGTATTGAACCTTATGGTAAAATTTCATAGAGATCCATTCACTTAAACTAAAGTTAGAGTGCGAAAACCATTATGTATTCGGACGACGACGACGACGACGACGACGACGACGCCAACGTCATACCAATATACGACCTCAAAATTTTTTTGCGGTCGTATAAAAAGGAAAAAAAAAAAATCCCCCCCCAAATTTTTTGAACCCCCTTATGATTCATCACCCCCAAACTCAATCCCAGCCTTCCCTTTGTGGTATGGTACCTTGCAATACAATTTCAGAGAGATCCATACACTTTAACACAAGTTATTGTCTGGAAACTAGAAAAATGTGTTTTTTGGCCACTTTTTGGCCCCAAATTCCTAAACGTTTAGGGCAATTAACCCCAAACTCAAACCCAGCTTTCCCTTTGTGATATGGAACCTTATAGTACAATTTCAGAAAGATCCATACACTTACACACAAGTTATTGTCCTGAAACTAGAAAAATGCTTGTTTTTTGCCCCTAATTCCTAAAATATTGAGGCAATTACCCCCGATCATCAATCCCAGCCTTCCTTTTGTGGTATGGCACCTTGCAGTACAATTTCAGAGAGATCCATACACTTGAACACAAGTTATTGTCTGGAAACTAGAAAAATGCTTATTTTTGGCCCCTTTTTGGCCCCCAATTCCTAAATGTTTCGGGCAATTACCCCCAAACTCAATTCCAGCTTTCCCTTTGAGATATGGAACCTTTTAGTACAATTTCAGAAATATCCAAACACTTACAAACAAGTTATTGTCATGAAACTAGAAAAATGCTTGTTTTTTGCCCCTTTTTTGGCCCCCAATTCCTAAAATTTTGAGGCAATTACCCCCAAAACCAATTCCAGCCTTCCCTTTGTGATATGGAACCTTGTGGTACAATGTCAGAGAGATCCATACACTTACACACAAGTTATTGTCTGGAAGTTACAAAAATGCTTATTTTTGGCCCCTAATTCCTTAACTGTTGGTACAATAACCCCCAAAATCAATCCCAACCTTCCTTTTGTGGTATTGAACCTTATGGTAAAATTTCATAGAGATCCATTCACTTAAACTAAAGTTAGAGTGCGAAAACCATTATGTATTCGGACGACGACGACGACGACGACGCCAACGTCATACCAATATACGACCTCAAAATTTTTTTGCGGTCGTATAAAAAGGAAAAAAAAAAAATCCCCCCCCAAATTTTTTGAACCCCCTTATGATTCATCACCCCCAAACTCAATCCTAGCCTTCCCTTTGTGGTATGGTACCTTGCAATACAATTTCAGAGAGATCCATACACTTTAACACAAGTTATTGTCTGGAAACTAGAAAAATGTGTTTTTTGGCCACTTTTTGGCCCCAAATTCCTAAACGTTTAGGGCAATTAACCCCAAACTCAAACCCAGCTTTCCCTTTGTGATATGGAACCTTATAGTACAATTTCAGAAAGATCCATACACTTACACACAAGTTATTGTCCTGAAACTAGAAAAATGCTTGTTTTTTGCCCCTAATTCCTAAAATATTGAGGCAATTACCCCCGATCATCAATCCCAGCCTTCCTTTTGTGGTATGGCACCTTGCAGTACAATTTCAGAGAGATCCATACACTTGAACACAAGTTATTGTCTGGAAACTAGAAAAATGCTTATTTTTGGCCCCTTTTTGGCCCCCAATTCCTAAATGTTTCGGGCAATTACCCCCAAACTCAATTCCAGCTTTCCCTTTGAGATATGGAACCTTTTAGTACAATTTCAGAAATATCCAAACACTTACAAACAAGTTATTGTCATGAAACTAGAAAAATGCTTGTTTTTTGCCCCTTTTTTGGCCCCCAATTCCTAAAATTTTGAGGCAATTACCCCCAAAACCAATTCCAGCCTTCCCTTTGTGATATGGAACCTTGTGGTACAATGTCAGAGAGATCCATACACTTACACACAAGTTATTGTCTGGAAGTTACAAAAATGCTTATTTTTGGCCCCTAATTCCTTAACTGTTGGTACAATAACCCCCAAAATCAATCCCAACCTTCCTTTTGTGGTATTGAACCTTATGGTAAAATTTCATAGAGATCCATTCACTTAAACTAAAGTTATAGTGCGAAAACTAATGTGTCTTCGGACGACGATGACAACGACGACAACGTCATACCAATTACGACCGCATAATTTTTGCAGTCGTATAAAAAAGCTTGGCAAGCCTCGCTCTTTAAATATTAGAATTTAACTGTCTTGTGTGGAAAAAATATCATAATACACTTGATGGCCTGATGCAGTGGTGGAATCTATATTTCCTGATGACCTTGGATGTCTTTTTTTTTATATGCAAATAAGCAATGTTTTTGCAATACAGTGAAAAATAGACATCATTGAGATGGGAGCCATCTCTGTGGGCCCCACTGTGAATAACATGTGGTAAAAAATTTGTATCTTAACCATAGGACATAAGGTTGTCATCTGAAACCAAAGTTTTTGACCTTGACCTTTGACCTAGGAAGTTGTTCATACATTATGACACACCCTCTGGCGTTGGTTTATATACATGTCGAGTATAAACTTTGAAATCATAAATGTTCTCAAGAAAAAGAGCGGACACGATCTTTACCATAGGACATGGGGTTGTCAACTGAAACCAGTTTTTGACCTTGACCTTTGACCTAGGAAGTTGTACAAACATTATGACACACCCTCTGGTGTTGGTTAATATACATGTCAAGTATAAAGTATGAAATCATAACGGTTCTCTAGATATAGAGCGGACACAGTTTGTTACGGACGGACGGACAGACTGATCACTATAGGGCGACCCACCATTTGGCAGGGCCCTAATGAATCACCAAAAGTACTATATATACACAACTCATTTGATGAAAAGGGGTGAAAATATGGTGATTTATTGTCAAAAGGGGGGAGATTTTTATATCCCTCATAGGTGACAGGTCCAAAGGGAGAGATATCAAATTCTTAAAGGAAAAAGACAGAGTCTCCCCGTAGAACAGGTGTGTTGGCAGTTATGTGATAATTACGTTCACTTGATTCTGCTTCATATAATTATGATAGAAGCCCAATCCATAAAAAAAAAAGAATTACAAAATATTCAGGTATGACATTGAAAAGAAATTAAATATTTCAACATTTTATTGTAGTGAATATTCAACTAAATCTCAATAAGACATCACATTATAACATTGAGAAGTTTTATTAACATCATAAGATGAGATAATTCACTAGCACTTCTAGATGATAACAATGAAGAAACAAAGTTCTGTGAATCTACGGAATTATTGTTAAATATCTTTGATCACATCTTCTAATTCCTCTTTAGAAAACATGTGAAAGAATTTCTCTGGTGTTACCTTAGCCATCTGAAAATAGAAATACCATTTTGTATACTGAATTAAGATAGAATTACCATTTTTAACTGAATTAAGATAAATGAAAGATTAATTGTAGACTGAATCAAGATAGAAATACCATTCTGCATACCAAATTTAAATAAGATAGAAATGCCATTTTGTATACTGAATTAAGATAGAAATATCATTCTGTATTAAGTATTTTCCATTGGGTAATACACCCAATAATTTGTTCTCACATTTATGCCCATTTAAAAGAATGATGACTTATAATTTCTTTTAACCAGATACAATATACATCTATACAAGATAGAATAAAAACCAAAATAATACAGTACACATGCTGAAATTTCTTGCCTAGTTAATAAATCATAATTGAATAATATGGCGACTGTCTTGAGTAAAAGGTAAATACTATATGTATCAAAGAAACTTCAAAGAAACAATGAACTTGTCAAACATAACACAGTTGACTTATAAAATTTATATTTATAAATCCTAGCAATTGAGAACCTGACCTAATGGCAAAAACATCAATGTTGATCATTGAAGTTCAGAACCATGACTCCTTTACAGATAGACATGTATACCTGACCAGCAATCCTTCTAACAATCAAATGACTATTTTCTCTAGTTTTGAGTAGATTTCAACCTTACAAATATAATAAACTAATGGGCAATATCAAAGACATTAATTATATTCCACCCCCCACAAAGGTATAAATCGTATGTGTATAAGCTTACTCAAGTGGGGAAACACTGGACTTTTCAAACCTTTTTATAAATATTTAATGTATATAAACGATACTAATGATGTCAATTTTTGAGATTTGATTGATTGATCGATATTTGCTTTACATCCAGTGGCATATATTTCAAACATTTGACCTCATAAATATAATTCTTACCTCTACATTTGTGGAATTTAATTTTTCTTCCATGACTTGTTTAAGAATTGTAAGAGCTGATTTACATGCTTCTTTTAATGTCATAGACTGAAAGAAATGAGAAAGAAGAAATGTTTAAAATTAAAATTCTTGAAACCATTTGGAAGATTACACATAATTTTTCTAACAAAAAGAACAGATTAACACCACTCAACTGTTTTTTAAATTTTGCAAAAATAAATATTTGAAGTGACAAAAATTAAATTGTCTTACTCTCATTTGCATTTATACACTGTTTTTATGTTTAATTTCATTAATTGCACATTTTTGTCTATTCTATAATTGCTACAGGTGATTTTATTCTGTATCAGATACAAATCATTGTGTACATGTATAATAAAAATCATTGTTACAGACAAATCCAAACTGACAATACCAGAAATCTGCTAAATAAAGGCAAAGAATCATCCCCAAATTTTCTTTTAAACAGCTGTGGTGTAATTGAATGTGTATTATCTGGAACCTCTTGCTGTGACCGTTATATGTATGAATTAAGATTGATTCATCTGTTTTTTTTTCCTTTGATTTGACAGTCTTAAAAGTAAAAGTCAGTTTTGTATTATTTTTCAATATATATATGTCTTGTTGCTGGGTTTCTGAATTATTTGTGTTAACCTACAATGCTACATCTTGTGCCATTCATTTCGACAATAATCTTATGTATTTCATGGAATTTATATACCATTGTAATGTGTATGTTGCAATGCTTTCATATTTCCCTTTTTATAAGCAAATAGTTTCACATCTGAATTTTGGTGGGGTTTGTGTTGCTCAATTTTAGTTTTATGTGCAACATTTTTGTTATTGTTGTATTTCTTTTCTTTTTTTTTTTTGCCATGGTGTTGTCTGGGTTGTTTTTTTTTGCTTATGATTTTTGATAGACTCCCTTGGTATCTTTTCTCTCTTTTAATACAATATTCTTGGTTTTACTTATCTTATGATTCTTGGTTTTTACTTACCTTATAATTCTTGGTTTTTACTTACCTTATAATTCTTGGTTTTTACTAACCTCATGATTCTGGGTTTTTACTTACCTTATAATTCTTGCTTTTTACTAACCTTATAATTCTGGGTTTTTACTAACCTCATGATTCTAAGTTTTTACTTACCTTATAATTCTTGCTTTTTACTAACCTTATAAATCTGGGTTTTTACTTACCTTATGATAGACATCCTGAAGTGCTTGTTGTGCTCCCTCTGACCCAGATCCTATTGCTTTAGCATCATATTGTATAAAGGTTCCAGATGGATCCATGTGATACCTGAAAAGATATACTTATATACTTATGCTGATGAAAATTTATAAAAATCTTAAAGACCATTCATTACCTTACTATGGCATTTGGTCCATTAATGTTTGGAATTGAGTTTTATAATACTATAAGCAGAGCCAGAAAATTAACACATTGTTTTTGATTTCTTTATTATGGCATTTAAAATATATATAACTGTTAAAACTCAAACTGTTAATTCTTTAATTTTTTATAAATACTTCCCCTCCCTCTCACCCACAAAAAAAAAATGAAAAAAATACAGGTGCATGTATATAGATATATATATAAGTATTAAAAAAACTTATCAAAACAGTCCATTTTTAAATGAACAACTAAATGTTCACACTTATGAACTAGTTTTCCTACTTGAATTGTATTACATTTGGCATTTCAAGGCCTTTTAAAGCATGCAGTGTGGTGTGGGGTTTGCTCATTGTTGAAGGCCGTAATGTGACCTATAGTTGCTTACTTCTACGGCATTTGGTCTCTGGTGGGGAGTTGTCTCATTGGCAATCATACCACATCTTGATTTTTTTATATTGTATAGCCTTTCTAGAATAAATGGGGTCTATAATACTTAATTAAACCGGGAATGTAACTTACAATTGAGGTCCTTTTTTATCTATCCCAGCAAACAATAATGCAACACCAAAAGGACGGCTCTGGAAGAAAAAAATAATACTGTTTTGGTACATTTTATGAATAATGGATTATTTATCGATATACCTTTATCATATACAATAGTAGTAATTTAAGAAATCAACTGAGATATCCCAAAAAAATCTATTATTCACTGGCATAACCAGGAAATAATTCAACCTGCTTTAAAAGAAATTTATTTCAAGCATCATTTAACATTTTCTTCATTAGATGGAGCTCAATTCTTAAAAGAGTCATGATACACAATTCTTGTGTTTTTAATAGTAATTATATTTTAAATATGGATAAAAATAGTAATTGCCTATATCAGATCACTCACTGCTGGTATAGATTTTCAATGAATTTAATAAATCTCAATATTAAAAGAAAAACAATATAACTTTTTGCATAAATTTCCTTTCAAATAAAGACATTTAAACTTATGGTATACTTTTTTTGCTTAGCAAATACAACTTCAATATAAATCTTTTACAGTTGTCTTATAAGGGGCAATAACTCAGATAATATAATTGTACTCTTATGTATGTCTATTTTGTTACTATGTATGAAATTAGGTATTGTGAACCTATATTTAAAACATTTGTTGTACTCATTAGGAAAACTATAATTAATAAAAGCTGTCTTCTTAAAAGTTAATGCAAAAGTTCATTAGTTTTCTCTCTGGTCAATATTTTTTTGTGTTTTTAGAATGTGACACAAACTGTAGCTTGGAAACGAGCTCATGACACCTGTTTTTTAATATGAATTTGGCTTAAGGATAAATAAAACCGCATTTTTGCAATTTTTTTTTATTGTTTTCAGTTTCTCTCTAGTTTTCAATACAATTGCCAAACTTGGGCTGAATGATCCTTTTGGTATTTAGTATCAACATCATTTTACCCTTATGTTTTATTGTTTGCCATAATGGTTGATAGACAGGAACAAAACACATAAACCTTATACTAGATAACCTTAGGATCATTCAGCCAAAAATTGGTTGAAATTGGTCCAGTAGTTTCAAAAGAGAAGATGTTTTAAAAGCTTACAATGAGTGGACCCAAAGTGATGGTCATATCTCACACATACGAGCAGGAAGGCTAAAAGTACTTCCTCTTTTTTGTTGATACATGTACTCCCATATCAACTTAAATTGATGTATATTTGTCAATATTTACCATTGCTCCTGGATCTGCATCATCATCACCAAACTGTAAGGCCACATTACTGACAGATTGTGTTACACTCTCTACTGACATCTTCTCATTATATGTAAACCAATGATTCTGTAAAATAAAACTAAATGTCAAAGAGATAAATGGTGAATGTGTCCAGGGGACACAGATGATGCCCCCGCTTGCATATAATGTTATAAAGGGACATAACTCAAGAACGATAAAAGTGACACTACCCAAAATTTGAACTTGATCTGAGTTTTGTGGTAATACCGGTAAGCATTGTGTATAAGTTTCATAACATTTGGTTGAGGCAAACTAAAGTAAGAGAACAAAATCGAAAAAATTCAGCAATTTTTCCATTTGTAAAGGGGCATAACTGTAGAACGGTAAAAGTGACACCACCAAAATTCAAACTTGATCTTTCTTTTGTGGTAATAAGCATTGTGTATAAGTTTCATAACATTTGGTTGAGGCAAACTAAAGTAAGAGAACCGGAACCAATTTTGGGACATACGTACCTCGTGGTAAGCCACCTTAAACAAAAACTTAAACCTGATACAGGATGGACTAACAGAAGCAAGGACAGACTGGAAAACACAATGACCCCTAATATGGTAGGAAGGGCACAACACATTATATTCCTTCTCCAAACAAATTCATGTTTTGCCAATATACTGAACAAGAGGCTCTCAAGAGCCTGAATCGCTCACCTGTATTTCAGAGGAGAAGATTTTTAAATGTTAGCAAACTTGATGAACAAATTGTGTAAAATTGTCTTTAAAGGGCAATAACTCCTTAAGGGGTCAATTGACAATTTTGGTCAGATTAACTTTTTTGTAGATCTTACTTTGCTGAACATTATTGCAGCTTACAGTTTATATCTATCTATAATAATATTCAAGATAATAACAAAAAACTGCAAAATTTTGTTAAAACTACCAATTTGGTGGCAGAAACCCACCAATGGGTTGTTTGATTCGTCTGATAATTTCAGGGCCGATAGATGTTGACCAATTGAACAAATTTACCCCCATGTCAGATTTGCTCTAAAAGCTTTAGTTTTTGAGATATAAGCCAAAAACTGCATTTGACCCTTATGTTCTATTTTTAGTCATGGCAGCCATGTTTGTCAATGGATCAAAACTTCGGATACATATTATAAACAAAATACTCTAAGGAACATTTAGTTAAAGTTTGAAGGTATTTGGCCCAGTAGTTTCAGAGGAGAAGATTTTTGAAATAGTTTACAACGACAGACGACAGAGGACGCCAAGTGATGGCATAAGCTCACATGATTTTTGAAATAGTTTAAAAACATAGCAAAATAAAGAAAGAAAACACAAAGCTATTTGGTACAGAATAATCTGTAAGAGTTTCATGGAAATGTATTTCCTAGTTTCAGAAGAGTTGTAGAAGGGGGATGCTTACAGATAAATGAATACACAGATGTAGACATTGTATAAAATATACAATGTATATACTTTTAACACTACCTAAACCTGTATATAAAGATCACCCTAAGGATAAAAGAAACCTGATCTGATAAGAAAGGTTCGAAATACATAGATGTAGGTACTAAAATAGCAGGACAAGAAAAGGATGACATGACAATACAGGTTTTCTCTTTGTAGAGATTACCTTTATAGCAGGTTTTGACTAATAAAAACTAGTTCATGAATTCATAAATTAAAGGGGCATTAGCTACAAGATATAAACAAAATTAAAATATGATTTTTTATTGTTCAATCATTAATGAAAGTGAAATAGTGAAATAATAATTCGCTTTTAACAGCCAGTTTGGTTCAAATTTGTCAAAATAAGCTACGGAGCATAATAATTCGACCTCATTGAATCCATATTCATGTGACCTTCTATTGAACCCTTTAGCTAGAGATGGGTTACGCATAAACTAGGTGTGTTCAGCAATTAAAAGGAAAAGAATGTCAACTTTGAAAGTGAAACAATAGTAAATCATTTGGTTGACTGATTCAATCAACAAAAATTCATTCTTATACAGGTTAAAAACGATGATTAACATATTTGTTAACCTATAATATGAAATCAAACAGACCTAGAAAAAAAAATTCAATTACACGTGTTTGCTATCTATTTATATCTATATTTATGTCTGTATTGGGTTATATGACCGTCTGCAGTCTTCGGAGGTAACCTCAATGGTTAATAATTATAATAGATGGCATTTTAGACTAAAATATGAATGCAATGCTGATACATATTATCATCGTAAATTTTTTAAGACTTTTTATAATTTGGATATAAGTTTTAGTATGTTATAAATCAAATATGAAAATTTGAGTCAAATCAGTGAACAAGAGTTAACAGCTAATGCTCCTTTAATATTGATCATCCATTTCTGTTTAAGTTATGACCTAAAATAACTTTAAAAGTGGAGAAATGAAATATTTGCAGCAACAGGGACATCAGAGTACTTATTTTATTCTTACCTGTGCTTCTACACGTGCTCTGTCTATTAGTGTTCTAGAATCAGCAATAAGACCACTCATTGCACATCCTGAAAAGTATGATATACATTCATATTATTATTGTGTATATTCTAACTAGAAAGAGTCACATTTTCAACTATATTTTCAAAGGTAGACAGAAAATAGCAGATAGAATTGGTTCTCTACTTCTGATTTATTGCCATGATTTTGCTAGCGCTCGTCATTTTCGTCATTTACGAAACGGTTTTCAAAATGACGAAAGTATTCCAAATCAATTTCGTCACCTAAATTTGGAAGGAGTAAAAATATTTCGCATGAAAATACTATAATTCTACCTGTCTTATTGTTTCTGACAAGTTTATGACCCTCAGCTAATTAACATTTACAACAGGTGTTATAAGTTGTGATTACAGATAATCCGCTTATCACCATCGGACTGGTCACTAATCCTTTAATTATTTATCAACCTCATAATTGATCATCATAATTATTTTCCCATGTAAAATCAGTCAGTCGGCATTTCAATTTCAATATTTATCAAACGAGCACAGTTTGCAGTTTGTTTGTCGTAGTTTCGTCATTTGAGTTTTCCATCGGACAGTTGCATTTTAATTTCAATATTTCTCAAACGATCATAATTTGCAGTTCGCTTGTCGTAGTTTCGTCAAATGAACGTATTTTCGTCATATTTGATATAACTTCAGAGACGGATTTAGAGGGTTTTCCAGGGGGCCCAGGCCCCCACTTTTGTGGGAAAAATTTGGTTGATTATTTAGGAATCACTGAAGCATGACTGGAGCGGGCCTCCTCTTAGGCAGTCAGTGGCCCCCCTCTTATGAAAATTTCTGGATCCGCCACTGAACTTTTAATCAAAAACTTTCGACAATTTCAGAAATGTTTTCAAGAGTCAAGCAGGTGCTTCCTTTACGATGAACTGCGCATACGCGAAAGTATTCTTATGAATTTAAAGACACTAAAACGTAAAATACGAAATAATTAAGTATCAAACTTATCAAGAGAGACAAATATGGATCTTATTTAGCAAATTTAATTTCAAAAAAATGATAATTTCCTGCCTTTTTTAAACATGAACCAACCCGTAGATGAATCATTTGGAAATCGAAAGTAAACGTGATCTATTCATGATAAATTTACAATTTAAAGTCATTAGAATTGTTCCAATAAGGATTTGTACAAATCCTTGGGTCCAACTGTATAGAATAAATTCTAAATACAATGTATCACTTTAAAACGTTTTTAAGGATAATGAGTATGAATAATGCAGTGAAATAGTCCTTACAAGTTCATTTATGCTGTGATTCCTGGTTTAAAAAAAAAATGGATCCCAACTTTTGCTGATTAGGAATGTGCCCTGAAACTAACTAAGTGAAATTGTGAACTAGATTTCTAGATCTTATATCCTAATCTTCGTATTAAAGTGCCACATCAGTCAAATCATGCAGTAACTGCCTAGTATGCCTAAGTACACCAAAGTCTGACAAATATGTATAGATAGTAATATACATCTTAGGTCCCTTGCTGCTACCCAAAATAAGGTTGATTTTCCTCCAGCACAAAAGTGACAAAAGCCCTCAAAATCCTAGCTTAAACCCTGTTTATTGGCAATAATAATCTAACAATTGTCATGATTGTAGCCTTTGTATGAGGTTGATATGGGATATTTCACCCTAAAGAAGTATATACTTCATCCTCAGTCGATATATCCTCGTATCCACCTCATACAAAGGCTATGATTGTATGGTATTCACATACATGTACGAATGTATCTATTACAAAATCTTGTTATCTAAGATACATGTAAAACATGAGAGTTTATTACATTTTGGAGGGTATTAAATAAAACATGTAATTTAAGTCTACAAATCATCACTGTTGAAGTTAAAGGGAGATAATTCAATAAATAATATGTAGACAGAAATGGAATTTATGATTGTTCCATTTAAACATACCTGGTACCTAGAGAAGAAAATGGGGAAATTCCACAGAGGCAAATTGAGAATTTCTCTTACAATTTCACTGTACACAAAATAGTCTTCATGAATGGAATAGCCCTTAAAACAAAATATATTTAATCAAACAGAACCCTATAGCTACTGGAGTGAAGATAACACCGATGTTCAAATTACTAAAAATTTACTATATGTCCAGATATGAGAGTTCGTTTAAGACAGGGTTTAAATAAGACAGATTTCGCTGCATTAAAAATGCAATCCCTCTCACAATTCACCTTGATCAGAATCCAAAGTTCGTTACAAATTGCTTTTTAACTTCCAATCTCTTAAGTGATTCCAAATTCTGCAGCTGAGAAATATCATAATATACTGTTATACCATATAAATGTTATTTGAAGTAAAAGTGGTAAAACAGGGGGGAAAATAAGACAATTAAAAGGAATATTTCAATTTTAATAATGTTTTGGATAGCTGATTGATTATACTGATTAAAATGATGTCTGTAGATCAAATACCTATATGGTCATCTATTTCAAATACTTTTTCAATACTAGCTGCTTCAATAAGAGGGGAGGTAACTCTTTTCTCAACTGCCAACACTACGCCTTCACTGGTTTGTATTCCAATTGCTGTAGAGCCAAGCTGAAGAAAAATTCATAAGATCAATTTATTCACTAAGTTTCAAAACATATTTTCTTCATTGTTGTTCAGTAAAATAAATATTTCTAAATTCTGTTTTGTTTATTTTAGGAATAATTTTTGTCAAAGAGTTATTGAATTTTTTCTTACTACATGTACTGCTTTCTCCTGTCAGAACAAAAATAAAAATCAAGCTACATGTACATTAATTTTGTTGTAAAGTTCAATCCATCACATTTTGAAATTTATTTTTTTATATGTAATTGATTGCTGTTTGCTTAACATTAAGTGACAAATAATTTTTTTCCCCCTGTTTTATAACTAACATACAATATAGCAATCATCATAACAAATAAGAAATTTTGATGTTTGTCTCACTCTTGTAAAATGCATATCTTTACACCACAATTCAAATTCATTTCTTTCTGGAGTGGATATAAATTTACAAAAAATATACTTACTTTGATTGCTTCGATGGCATATTCTACTTGGAATAATCTGCCTTCCGGTGAAAATGTGTTAACACCTCTGTCATATTCAGATCTTGTAAGAAACATCTTTTGTTAGATCTGAAATTATTTTACACAAATAAAAACTTCAAATTAAGTCAGTAAAGTAGTAATTATTATTAAATACAATATAATAATCATATCACTACTGAGTTAAGTACATTGTAGTTAATGCATCGTTCATATTCTGAAAATTCTTTCAGTGCTATGGTGACGATGGAGTTATCTACCTTCTGCATACATATTGTAAGATATTAAAAGGAACACATATAACAGGCAACACATACATTTTGTAATGTTCTTCTATGGTAAAATATGCCTTGTAAATTGTAATGAGTAAAAAACAACATATGATTATGTATACCCCTGAATTACAGTCGTATCATTTCTAAGGTCTTTTGGTACTGCAGAACAATGAGTATTTCAGTACATTCAAGAGAGATTTCAGTGATTCAACGTACCAAAAACATGACAATTTCAAAATCAGATATGGTATCTACAGCATTTATATTTAACTGTATCTCATTTGTCCATTATAAATTTTCAAAACTCACCTTGACTTCTGTTTACTGAATATGAATACTACTTACATGTATACACAACTTTCAATAAATCTTTTATGATTGTGAAGTGTTATAGATAACAAAAGCAATACACTTTTCAATTACAGAACCAGGATCTTGAAAAAGGGGCGCCCATGATGTCAAAATTCAGTGCTACATTGTATCGATGCAGGACGTGACGGCCATACTGCCATGACGTCCATAGGATGAAACGGCCATACCCCGAAAAGATGAAACGGCCATACTTTGTAAAGACGTATCGTCCATGTTTTTTTTTTTTTTTTTTATAGATGTTATATATGAATTATTTTGATACTTATAGATGGTTATAACTTTTAAATAAACTGTTTTTATATTATTTATCATGTTTAATTTTGTTATATCATTTGTTTACTCATTATATATATATCATAGGTTCATTCAACCTATGCCAACATTTTGAAATTTAGGTATAAAATTGTATGAAAAAATGTTGGCATAGGTTGAATAAAGTATAACAGATTAAGTGTTATAAAAACAAAAATAATTAGGGGCCAATCAATTTACAACCAGTTTAAAATTGGCGTTTAAGTGTACCCAAAACTTTTTTGTTACTTGTTAATATTATAGTCAAAATGAAGGCAACTCTATGTGTTGCTGATCTCTTTTGTTTTAGGAATCAACATAATAAAAAAATTAATGATTGAAGGTTGCTTAACGTCCAGTGGCAAATATTCCATGCATGTTCAGGGTATACCAGTATCATGTGAATATCATACAATATATGATGAAAATATTTGATGATATTTTTCTAAAAGTAGAAATACGTCAAATGCATGGAAATAATGAATATAGCACGATTTAAAATCTGCTTCGCATTGAAAAGTGTATTTTTCACAGTTCAGTATTTATGAAATATTTGTGTTTTTGTATATATTTGTGTTACTTCTTATTACAATAGGGCTTTATTCTGCATTTCCATGAATTCTAATATACAAAAACACATATTTCGTAAATACTGACATCAGAATTAAATACAATTATACAATGTTCACTATTACGTCATACCAGAGACATATATATATACATATATATAAATATATCTGATAATACTGTAAGACACCTGTGATCACCCCCGGTTTATGGTGGGTTTTGCGTTGCTCAGTCTTTAGTTTTCTATGTTGTGGTTTGTATATACTGTTATCTGTCTTTCAGTCTTTTTCTTTTTTATACGACCGCAAAAAATTTTGCAGTTGTATATTGGTATCAGCGTCGTCCGAAGACATTTGGTTTCCGGACAATAACTTTAGTATACTACAGTAAGTAAAAAGAAATCTATGAAATTTAAACTAAAGGTTTATAACCACAAAAGGAAGGTTGGGACTGATTTTTGGTGTTATGGTCCTAACAGTTCAGGAACTAGGGGCCAAAAAGGGGCCAAAATAAGTCATTTTGAAAATTGCTGTTCATCATGTCGTACCCTTGTGTGCTATGTGACCAGCAAGTCCGACCAAGACAACATGCTCTCCAATGTGAGGATTGTGATAAATGGCAACACAGGCTTTGCAATACAGGTATTTACAAATTTATTATTAATTTAGTTTTTCCTTTGAATCATATTTCGTACTTTCGGTCATATTTCAGATACATTTTTTTTTTTACTTTTATTTAACTTAAAATGAAGAAGCCGACATTATTTTCCACTGTGCAAAATGTGTCCTCATACCACAAGATATGGAGGTTGAGGTACATATACGTTATTGTATTATTTCTTTAAATGTTGTGTGTTCGACAGAATTGTTTTAATTTCTTATCGTTTCTTTATTATTTTGAGAAGAAAAATTGTATTCAACATAAATTTTTCATTTTTTGTGGTTGACTATTATTCAGAATAAGTCCTGTTATGCCAAAGGTCTCAAACCGTTATTTATGATTACGTATGATTACAAAAAAAAGACCCATCATAAATCATATTAATCCAATCATTGGGCGCGTGTCTCTGTTTAATGCAAAGTATACAAATTTCGGAGGTGTTAATCCTTTAATTAGGTTACGTGATTGCCAATTATCAAACAATGTTACAAATATTAATGTGAATTTATATATTTTGAATTATATAAAGTTATACTATCATCATATTTGAGTTTTTATAAATATTAACATTAAAATTGTTTCGTTTTTATTCAAATTTTTAGCAATTATTGTGTTTATTTTAGGGTGGCATAGGCGTTTCAATGGCAAGGCTGCCCACAACCACCTCCATATCTACAAGATTGTGCCAGCCTTCCAACAAGAAGCCAAGACCGTGTCCATCACACAGCAGCTTGTGAGTGAACAGCAGCTTAGCCGATATCAACGAGACACATACAAGCAGCTTCAAGGCTGTCTAACTTCGCTGTGGGACCTGTACGAGGATGACAGTATCAGAACATCAATAATTATATCAGAATAAATACTTATTTTATTATTATATTTTATGTTATAACCTCAATAAAAAAAATTTTTTACAGTGTGGACGATACGTCTCACAATGTGTGGCCGATATGCCCCATGGACGATGTGACGGTATGGCCAACACATCCTATGGCCGTCATGGAAGTATGGCCGTCGCGTCTCGAAAGCCATTGTATGTCCTGTGATGATGGAATGGGACTATGCATAAACCCATTACTGTCAAGTCTCATATATTTTGCCTGAGACTCACACACTTTCATGCTTATTTGGCGGCATTTTCCTTTGATCTATTGTTTTTTTCTCTTTGATCTTTAGAATTTTTGCCAAATCTCACACATATCATATGCTTCAGGAAAACTTGACAGCCCTGTAACCCCTGTATGTAGGTCCAAACAGAAGGGTGGTCACTACCCTCTAAATTCGTCTATGATTTGGCAAGTTACTAGGTAGGTGGCTATAGTCTTGTAAATATCATATTTTGAGTAAGATGATGGATCATGATATTGCAGTTTTGTAAAACTTGAAAGTTTTCATTTATTTAAGGATAAGAAACATTATAAACGTATAATTCCAATTAACATTTATAAAGACAAAAGATTATTTCTTGCTGCTTCTGTGAGTCTCTTTTGTTTAATGATAAAGATGCATTTTAATTTGTGAAAATGAACTCACCGGCAAACTGCAACTAAGGATTGACTAACTAACAAAATCGGACGACGTATCAAACCTGAATTTCTCCGGATCTGTTAAATTTACCACGGGCACGTGTTTCTCGTAATATAAGTGTCGAAAATGTTTTTGTTGAATATTTCTATTTGAAAAAAAAATGAAAGTTGATGTTATTTCAATAGAGGATTGACGAAAGATACCAGAGGGACAGTCAAACTCACAGATCGAAAACAAACTGACAACGCCATGGCCAAAAATAAAAAGACAAATAGACAAATGATAGTACAGATGACAAAACATAGAAAACTAAAGACTAAGCAACACGAACCCCACCAAAAAATGGGGGTGATCTCTGGTGCTCCGGAAGGGTAAGCAGATCCTGCTCCATATGTGGCACTTGTCGTGTTGCTTATGTTATGAGGGGCCTGATGGGTTATTTTCGTTCTTCGTGATCGGCGTATTTTCGCTATCGTGATCCGTTTTTCTACAGATTTTTTTTTTTTTTTTATATTTTCGTGATCCGTGATCATGGAAATTTATTTTCTGTGAATCGTGATTGACAAAAAAATCAACTCGTGAATCGTGATGAGACCCCCCCCCCCCCCCCATCAGGCCCCTCTGTTATTACAAATCCGGCAAATAGTCTAATTCGGTAGGTCACATTCGTGAAAAGGGCAGGGTATTGTAGTTACGACATAAGAAACTTATCCGATATCAATGTTAGATTTGAAATCTAAATTCCTGGATTTTTTTTTACTATAAACTGCTTTTGCTTCATCCTCATCTGTGACGAGTGATAGTACCGCTGAGCAGGGCTGAGATTACATCAGCAGCAGGTGACGAAACAAGGAGACTCACACGAAAACAGAAAAATAAGACATTACCATAAATGTCTCTGGCGAAACTAAGATAAGATAATATTTGTCAATCATTTGTGTTTCCTAAAATATATCTGTAAATGCTCTTCAACTTCGCACTTTATTTGGCCTTTATAAAAAATAAGGCGTTGTGGTATGATTGCCAATCAGGAGATGACTATCCACCAAAGTTCAAATGAAGTGGATGTAAGCAATTATAGGCAACTGTACGGCCTTCAACAATGAGAAAAACCCATAACGTATAGTCCGGCGGCCGTATAAAACAGCCCGACATGAAAAATATGAAACAATTCAATTGCGAAAACTAACGGCTTAATTTATAACAAAACAATTTACGAAAAACAAATATGACAGACATGAACCAACGACAACCACTGAACTACAGGCTCCTGACTTGGGACAGGCACATAAAGAATGCCAATGGCGGGGTTAAACATGTTTGTGAACACTCAACATGCTCCACCCTCCCCTAACCTGGGACAATGGTGTAACAGCACATAAGAACAAACAAAAAATCAGTTAAAAAGGCTTAACTCATCAGATCGATACAAAGCAGAAAAACATCAAACAAAAACACAGACCGGACGTGGCAAGGTATTTATCCATCCCTCATCCCTAACAACAAAAAAGACACTAAGTACAGATCTGAGAGTACCCGCAGTTACTGACAGCAAGTTCAAAGCCAATAACAAATAATAAACAAAATTATGTATCTAAGATAAAAATATCAATCAGTACACATTCAACATCCAATGGATTTAGCGTAAAGACGTCATTAACAGTCAGAGAAAAACATACCTTGTGCAATTCCAAAATAAAGGTATCGACAGATTGTACATGTTGTAGTACCGTTAAAATGCATATGTGTATAACAATACTATTTGGTATGGTTTTAATTTACTGATAACAAAATCAATATTTATACCAATAAAACAATATTCAAAGATCTAATTACAGTGTTGAATTGGTAACCTTTTAGAATATATAAATTTCCGGGCTCGGTAAACAACATCACCGTAAACTTTAGGGTGTGCTATTCCGTTTGAAATATTTATTTACAGGTACAGCCAAACTTGCAAACCAAATTCTGTGTATCTATTGAAGAATTTAGTAAAGGTTTTAAGTAATTTGTGGTAACGAAATCCCTGATTTAATAATTTACCAGTATACATAGATTACGCTCATTGAAATCCAAAACGTCACTACAGATTCGGGCATAGCGAACGAGTTGGGATATATAAACACCGTAAGACGATGCCAGAGCAATATCACTGTCCAAAAAAGGAAAATCAACAATAGGGAAAGAAAAATCATCACTTTTGTCGTAAATTTTTGTGTAGAGTTTCTGGTGAAAAACTGAAATGTCTTAATCTAAATTGTTTTTTTATTCAGGATTATATTTTCAATTCTCTAAGAAATGACAAAATAAAACTAATTCTTCCACTTAGTCGAATATACAATAATAGTTACTAGTATACTATAGTTAACACAAAATTATTTTTGCCTGGTATTTTACAGCCAAAAAATTAAGATCTCGTTTAATGTAAAAGCAGGTTCTGTTGTGCGTTTGTTTTTTCTACATTGGCTAGAGGTATAGGGGGAGGGTTGAGATATCAAAAAACATGTTTAACCCCGCCGCATTTTTGCGCCTGTCCCAAGTCAGGAGCCTCTGGCCTTTGTTAGTCTTGTATCATTTTTAATTTTAGTTTCCTGTGTATAATTTGGAGTTTAGTATGACGTCCATTATCACTGAACTAGTATACATATTTGTTTAGGGGCCAGCTGAAGGACGCCTTCGGTTGCGGGAGTTTCTCGCTGCATTGAAGACACATTGGTGGCCTTCTTGCTGTTGTCTGCTCTATAGTCGGGTTGTTGTCTCTTTGACACATTCCCCATTTCCATTCTCAATTCTATTTGTATTTACTTTTTGCAAAAAACTATGATTTCTTTCTCTCTCTAAAAATCTTATAAAAAAAATTGAATCGGAATTATATTGATTTTCAATTAAATACCACAAAAGATCGCAGAAAAGATGCCAAATCTGATTCAAAAGGTTTCTGGAAATGACTGAATAGTATATAAAGACAAAAAAATCAAATAGTACTGATGCTGTCAACATTGAAGATTTATAGGAACATTTAAGACGTTTTAACTCGGCCAAGGATTTATTTTAGAGCTCTGGATTTATATAGTAGGACTATATAAAATCTTGTTTAAGCCAAACTGGTATTATCGAAGGCAACTCAGAAATCGATTTTAAAATTTACCACCAGAGCATACTGACAGAAATTTAAATTCGTCAATGACAGATAAAGTAATTTTGAATGTCGTAATACGAATGTTAGTCTTAGATACATGATTTTTTATTGGTTGTTATTGGCTTTGAACTAGCTTTCAGTTGAAACTGCAATTATACTCTCTAATATGTGTATACATTGTGTCTTTTGTGTTTTTGTTTTATGTATCGATCTGATGAGTTACTTCCTTTTCAATTGATCATCTTATATATATTAATTTTGGATGTACCTTGTGTTCTGGTTGGCTGAAAGTTTTTCGTCTATCAGCTCATGGACATAACTTTGTCATCAATATTTGTTCATGATTAACTCCTTAAAAATGGAATTTAAATTAAATTATAAGGAATGACTGTAATATTTTGTCTGTCTATTCGAAATAACCTCAAAAATGTGGTGCACACTTTTAAGTAGCGGGTTATTTATTGTGCACCACATTTTTCATGTTATTTCTTCATAGGCAGAAAAAAATATTACAGTCATTCCTTAAATAGATGCGTTACGGACAATTCTTTCAAAGGTCTGTTCAAAACAATGTTTATTTTAGAAAAGTATCTTAAACACTTATCGCCATTCGAACGTGAATATATTTCTAAATTGAGACAAATTCCAGTAGAGCTGGGTAGGTGGTACATGATATTCCGAAAGATTAGAGGGTATGTCATATGTGTTCGAATGCTATTGGTAATGAATACATTACTTATTCGAATGTAATTAGTTCTATTCAAGTAATATTTTATGAAATGAAGACATTTCCTGCATGAATATCTTTTTATCGTTTCAAAGTAAGTAAAAGTAATATAAAGTATAGCAATTTTAAGTCTATGTTAGAATTATTGTTGGTTATTTTTTTATGTTTCCAGGGTACAAATGTGTATTTTATATATGTTAACCTCTTGTTTCGCATGTGTATGAGACGGAGTGTTTAAAACAAAACAAAAAGCAATATTGTATTATGTTACCATCTAAATGAGAACTTGTTGAAGGTAATTTGTTTTTTCTTTTTCTAAATAATAAAAAATAAAAATGTAAAATGATTTTAAACGAAGATCTGTTTGTAATGATAACAAATAGAACCATAGGTCTATACCATGCAGTCGATTTTACTTTTTCTTTAATCATTAATTACGTAATAACTTATTCGACAAAAAGGAATTTCTATATAATTACCACTTTTTGACAAACGTTGTCTTCTTTTTTCTATCGTGAGACTTCTCATGTTATAAATGGTTAATAATTATACTGAAAATATGAGACAAGGATCTCTGCAAATTATCTTCCGAATCTTGTCTGTATGCAAGAGTTCCATTTCATGTAGATATTACTTTTCAATTTTATCAGTATATAAAAAAGGGAGAGACAAATGGATAGGAGCAGACTAAAAGTGTGGGGACAAACTTTTGCAAGTGATAAGAAAAAAGAAAGTATTTTCTATTGTCTACAAGTCTAGAAGGAAGTCAGTGGTCACTTTCATTTTTTTTTAATTTCAATAATCTTTTAAAAGTTGAGTGGATTGCGCCCTAGTCCCAACTGCTCCTGACTGTCTCCTGTCCCCCTTCAAAGAGGACATACATCATGTCTACCTTTGTATTATATTTTGTGTTTTTTTTATATATAAAACTTTACAACATACAGGTTTTGATGGAGTTTTCAAATTCACGGTAATATAAGACTCATATAAGTCATGTGAACCTTTGTATATGAATATGAATGTACAAAAAAAAGGAGGGACGACAGATACCAGAGGGACAGTCAAACTCATAGATCGAAAACAAACTGACAACGCCATGGCCAAAAATAAAAAGACAAATAGACAAATAATAGTACAGATGACACAACATAGAAAACTAAAGACTAAGCAACACGAACCCAACCAAAAACTGGTTGTGATCTCAGGTGCTCCGGAAGGGTAAGCAGATCCTACTCCACATGTGGCACCCGTCGTGTTGCCGATAAGTTATGTTTTTACAAATCCGGTAAATAGTCTAACTCGGTAGGTCATATTCGTGAAAAGGGAAAGGTATTGTATTTACGACATAAGGAACATATCCGATATCATCTGTTAAACGGTTATTCCATAACGGTCAACCAACTCGTGATGGCGTAAGTAAAATTTACGAAGGGATGATTTCAACTTCACCATTTAGAACGCTTGGTTTAATAGCTTCCTTGTGAGCAGCAATCCTCTATCAAGGAAATCATGATAGGAAATACAAGCCCGGGAATATCGTATCAGGGAGATATATACTCCGTATGCAGGCGCTGCTGGAATGTTGCTACATAGAAATGGAAAGTTCACAATTGGGAAGCTGAAATCATTTCTTTTGCCGTGAAGTTTTGTTTTCAACCGACCCTCATTGTCAATTTCTAGATGTAAGTCAAGATATATAAATGTACTTGTGATAGACATGTCTTTTATTTTCCCTTTGACTGATAACTTAAAAAAAAATCCGCACATATATGCACATATGCTTGAAGAAGTAAGACGAAAAAATGGTTATACGGTAGATCTGGGACTATTATACTAACACTATATTTTATTATACTTCATGTCAAAATGCAAGATTTTGATTGGTTAATACGAGGGAGACAATTTACTTTATTATACTTCACGTTAAAATGTCATATTTTGATTGGCTAATACGAGGGTGTTAATTTACTCTATTACCCTTCATGGAGACGCTTGATCAAGTGTGCGCTTTATTAAATACGACTCTATCCTATGACAAATACTCTATTACCCTTCACGGAGACGCTTGATCAAGTGTGCGCTTTATTAAATACGACTCTATCCTATGGCACATACTCTATTACCCTTAACGGAGACGCTTGATCAAGTGTGCGCTTTATTAAATACGGATGGTTGTTATGTACAAAGCGTCATAGTTTATTACATTAAATTTGAAATTTAATCGACAGTAATAACAGAACATTCAGTATAATAAATTAAATAACACATATCTGAGAGGGTGATAGAGCAGATTGTTACCCTCGAAAAGACAATGTCAACCTTGGCTTCGCCTCAGTTGACAATGTTTTCTCGGGGTAACAATCTGCTCTATCACCCTCTCAGCTATGTGTTATTTATATACTATCATATGGCAAATACTGACTATTACCCTTCACGGAGACGCTTGATCAAGTGTGCGCTTTCATGATTAGATACGGATGGTTGTTATGTACAAGACGTCATAGTTTAATTATTATTATGAATTTGAAATTTAATAGACAGTAACTTAAATTTTCGCCGATTGGAGCGAGGCGAACATTTTTTTGAGGTAAAATTATCGAAATATTCTTTATTAAGCTGAGGACAACCGATGCTTTTTTTGCTCCTGTCCCAAGTCAGGAGCCTCTGGCCTTTGTTAATCTTGTATGTTTTTTTTAATTTAGTTCATTTATATGTTTTGGAGTTTAGTGTGACGTCCATTTTCACTGAACTAGTACACAATTTTATTTAGGGGCCAGCTGAGGACCCGTGACCTCCGGGTGCGGGATTTTCTCGCTGCGTTGAAGACCCGTTGGTGGCTTTCGGCTGTTGTCTGCTCTTTGGTCGGGTTGTTGTCTCTTTGACATATTCCCCATTTCCATTCTCAACTTTATTTTCAAATTTTACTAGGGGGGGGCGGCGCAGAGCAGATTGTTACCCCTTGTAAAGACATTGCCAGCCTTGGCTTCGCCTCAGTTGACAATGTTTTCTCGGGGAAACAATCTGCTCTATCACCCTCTCAGATATGTGTTATTTTTATAATGTCCCAGGGCAGATGATCATGAAATAATTAATTGCAAAGGAAATTGTTGTAAAATGAAATAAAAAAGGTAAAAAGCAAATGATCTCTCACAATTTATTGTATTTAATGTGCATTTATTTTGTTGCTTGGAAGTGGTCTTAGGTTTTACCAGAGACATATATACATATATGTGTATATATGTCTCTGGTTTTACCAAGAATTTTTACAGTAATCCGTGGTTTGTATAGGTTAGGTGATAGAATTTTTTTTTAGAAAAAGACGGAATAAGTTATGTTCTTGTTACCATAACTTGGTTTGCATATTAGTTTGAAGTAGGCTCGCATCGAATCTCTTAAATCTTAAACAGTTAAAGTTAATACATTACAATTAACTGACTAGTGGTTTTGATTCCAATTAAAATCTCAATAATACAGTTGAATGACCATATATATGAATTGGATATAAAACATTTGAGATAAATTTTGACCAATGACAAAAGCGGAAAATCTTGATTGCGGGACCAGTTGAAAAGCGAAAATGGAATCTGCAAAGGTAACGTCTTTGGTATTTGTCATTTCACCGGTCCTTTCAGGCCATTAATTTGTCTCCAATGACAGACAGTCGCTTAATTTTTCTCTTTTTCCTGTGTGTAATCTAGACTTTGTCTGATATCGAGTCAAATTATAGGACGGACCGGCTCAATGAGTGACATGACCTGTCTGCTAGTTCTAGTTCTATGTTATCCAGTTATGTTCTTTGCCTTTGGGTTTTTCTATTTGAAATTATCACCGCTCGTTCTCAGCAAACCGTTAACATAGATTTTAAAGAAATTAAGATGTTATGAGTTTTGAGAACTTTAATTGATAATTTATGTTTACATTTAATTTATATTCAACATGATAATGAGTCATTGATATTTTTCAATCACTAATCAGTTATCCCCCTTTATTTATTGCCATACATTACTGTGGCAAATCTGAATCTGCAAACTTTACCTACCAATATCTTGATGGGAACTTCCCCCCTTGGGAGGTGTTTACATGGCTCTTGAAATCCTCACAAATTTATCTAAACTAGATACTTGTAGTAGTTGTACCTTGAAACGTAAATGTACAAGTCTATTAATACTACAGTAGTGTCTGGTAATATCTCCCAGTCTGGTAAACCCGCCTACTCCCATTTACTTCTGTAATTGTCACTTCTGTGAATATTTCGTCTACTATTTTATTCATAGGAACTGTACTTATCTTCACAGTCTCACTCACAAGCACTTGTCTCAGAAATTTTTTTCGTAAATACCTTATATAACACAAGGTACTTAACTTGCATTTTTTTAAAATATCACCCGGTCGCTAAATTCCGTTATATTTCAATTTCTCAGTTGTCAACCCCTCTGAAAGTTGTTATGACGTAAATCTAAATTCATTTATCTACACAATGGTGTATGACACACCTACCTTTGTTGTCGGAATCATTCGAAGCAGGACTACCCAAGTAATAATTTTGTAAACCAACACTCATTATATAGACTATTGAAAAATATCAACCCGCTATGCTCACTCGACATTTAGCTTCATATTCTGGCTCATGGGCTGATATATCTATATCTACACATCCACAGCCCTCAAAGTACAAAATGTAGCTTCTGAAATGAAATGCCAACTGAAAATTTAGTGGCCAACTCAAAATTTCAGTGGCCAGGAAATAATTTCAGGTCGCCTACATTTTTTTTTTTATATCTTAACAACCCTTGTGAAATAAAAGTATTAAGTTTTTGTTGTGTTTTTATGCTGACGAGTGAAGAAAATAGTTTGTGTAAATCAACTGTTAAAAACCTCATGATTTATTTGATATTCTATTCATTGACACTGTACATGTTTTAAAACAGTCTACGACGTTAAGCGGTAGCCCAAAGCTCAAGTATATAGTAAAAATATCATCGGATTTGTGCAGAAGCACTGGTGATTGGCCGATTGGTCAAGTGAACATCTGAAATTGTTTGCTAAATTGTAGCCAGTATTTTATTGAATCTATGAGAACAAGTTAACAAAATTGTCCCTACCTTGTTTCCATCTGTTTACTGACGAAATCAAGAACGAGGCACGACCATGTGCTTTCAATAATCACAATCTATAAATGCCAATGGTTTTCTTTTTAATGGCACGAAATAGTCCAAGTTGTGTCTGAGTGCGGAAATATGAAGATAGATATATATAAATCCTGTCAGTTAGTCAACGACAACAGATTGCTTACAAATGAACTACAAGTACCTGATGCAATAAAGCACTGACAAGATCAAGCTTAAATCTAAAAGGCACTTGAAATACAGTAAATATTTGTGTTACTGTCAAGCGCTCAGACGATTTTTTAAAACCCAACTCTGATCAGGGCAAAATTTACGTTCGCCAGATTTTCAATATTCTAATAGCCTAAATGGCGACCAGTTATGAATTTTTGGTCGCCAATCAGCTTTTAAAGTCGCCCAGGCGACCATTTCAGTAGACTAAATTGAGGGCTGATCCACATCCAGATAACATGTACCAATCCAAATTCAGACCTGTATCAACATGATCAAGCGAAAATATTGTGTCCATTTTTGCCCCAACTGTTCAGGGTTGGACTTCTGCGGTCGTATCCAGCTGCGCTCTGCAAAGCAATTTATTTATCTGTCTTTTTATACGACCGCAAAAATTAAAAATTTTTTGGTCGTATATTGGTATGACGTTGGCGTCGTCGTCGTCCGGCGTCGTCCGAAGACACATTGGTTTTCGCACTCTAACTTTAGTTTAAGTGAATGGATCTCCATGAAATTTTACCATAAGGTTCAATACCACGAAAGGAAGGTTGGGATTGATTTTGGGGGTTATGGTACCAACAGTTAAGGAATTAGGGGCCAAAAAGGGGCCAAAAATAAGCATTTTTGTAACTTCCAGACAATAACTTGTGTGTAAGTGTATGGATCTCTCTGACATTGTACCACAAGGTTCCTTATCACAAAGGGAAGGCTGTAATTGATTTTGGGGGTAATTGCCTCAAAATTTTAGGAATTAGGGGCCAAAAAAGGGGCAAAAAACAAGCATTTTTCTAGTTTCATGACAATAACTTGTGTGTAAGTGTTTGGATATTTCTGAAATTGTACTACAAGGTTCCATATCACAAAGGGAAAGCTGGAATTGAGTTTGGGGGTAATTGCCCGAAACGTTTAGGAATTGGTGGCCAAAAAGGGGCCAAAAATAAGCATTTTTCTTGTTTCCAGACAATAACTTGTGTTCAAGTGTATGGATCTCTCTGAAATTGTACTGCAAGGTACCATACCACAAAGGGAAGGCTGGGATTGAGTTTGGGAGTGATGAATCGTAAGGGGGTTCAAAAAATTTGGGGGGGGGGATTTTTTTTTTTTCTTTTTTTTTTTTTTTTTTCCTTTTTTTTTTTCTTTTAAAATTTTCCATTTTAAGTTGGTTATTTCTGATTAATATTTAAAAGCAAATAATAATGATATGGTAGGAGATACACACCAAACAGGATGTGTAAATTATTATATAATAAGTATTGTGCAATAGCAAGAAATTTTCAATTGCACAGTATTGCACAATAGCAAGAAATCTTCAATTGCACAGTATTGCGCAATAACAAGAAATCTTCAATTGCACAGTATTGCACAATAGCAAGAAATATCCAATAGCACAATATTGCGCAATAGCAAGAAATTGTCAATTGTACAGTAGTGCGCAATAGCAAGAAATATTCAATTGCACAGTATTGTGCAAAAGAAGATACTTCGTATAAATTGCTTATTTCTTGATCAATTTCAATGGGGTTTTATTCTTGAATTCTTGGGGTTCTTTAATATGCTGAATCTAATCGTGTATTAAGTTTTTGGATTTTGGGCCCCGTTTTTAAATTGGTCCACATTGAGGTCCAAAGGGTCCAAAATTTAACTTTGTTTGTTTTCATCAAAAATTGAATTATTGGGGTTCTTTGATATGCCGAATCTAACCGTGTATTTAGATTCTTAATTTTTGGTTCCGTTTTCAAATTGGTCTACATTAAGGTCCAAAGGGTCCAAAATTAAACTTAGTTTGATTTTAACAAAAATTTAAGTTTTAGGGTTCTATGATATGCTGAATCTAAACATGTATTTAGATTTTTGATTATGGGCCCAGTTTTCAAGTTGGTCCAAATCGGGGTCCAAAATTAAACTTTGTTTGATTTCAACAAAAATTGAATATATGGGGTTCTTTGATATGCTGAATCTAACCATGCATTTACAGTGTTCCCGCCTGCCCTAAATAGAAGGGCGGCCCGCCCTTGGTGCCCTTACCCCCGCCCTTCTGCCCTCCAAAGTAAAAGAATGCACCCCTCTGCCTTTTCAAAAAAATAAAATTTCCAAATTTCATGCCTACCGGCGTTTCCGGTAAAATTGTACCTGATTGTGTAACACTAATTAACTGACAATGGGATTAAGTTAAATACCTAGTGCTTTGGCAGTTTTATCACCTTTGTTAATGATTGTTTACTGCTAATTAGTGGATTTAAGATAATTGAACAAATACTAGATATTTAATACAGAATGAAATGTCCACATGTTATCCATTTGTAATGTTTATGTACAGCATGTACACCTGAAAAAAATTATTTCAGTAGGCATACCATAAAAAATAAAATCTTAAACAATTTTAAAGGCATACATAGTTTTGACTTAATTGGTAAAAAATGTTTTGTTTCATAACCATGAGTATGAAATTTAAAGAGGAATCAAAGAAATTTGTACTTTGAACATAACAAGATGCACTTCCTGTTTTTAATACTTCTTGTATTTTATAATCCTCCTGACATAATTAAGAGCACTCAACAAATTTAAATTTAACAATGATGGAGAAAAAAGTAACTGTTTATACCTTCTGCAATATATTATTGCATCAATATTAAATATGATCATCTCCTGTCTCACCTGTTATATTTATAAAACTCCTTACTGAGGAGCACTTTGGTGTGCACTTAAAAATACTTTTTTGTAACAATTCAAATGATAATAAATAACTCTCAATAACATATATACTATACATGCTATATGTTTGAACAAGTAATTTAAATGTAGATAATTCAATTACATTCAACATTCAATTTTGCATGTATAACTCCATCTTTCAAAACTACTTGTTTATTTTGGTATAAGTTATAAAACATTGAAATTTCTGATGATTATTTTCCATACCAAATGTACAAGTTTGTTTAGATTAACATCAAAATGATATGCTTTGCTTCATGGTATATTAATTTGATGAAAAAAAATTCTTACTGGAACCAACATCAAGAACACATTAATTTCTGAATATGGTTTAAATACAACTAATGTTCTCCAGCTGAGCCTAGCAATATTCAAGGTAATTTATACACTGTCCAACATTGCCCTTAAAATCTGGGTTATAACGCTAAAGTGCCCTTTCAGACAACTAGCACCCTTCTGCCCTGAGATTCAAGCTGGAACACTGATTTAGATTTTTGATTTTTGGTCCCCGTTATCAACTTTGTCCACATTGAGGTCATAAGGG